ACAAATAATATAAAAATTTATTTAAATTTTCACTAATGCGAGAATCTCATTAGAGATGAGATATTAGAGTAGACTCAGACTGAGGGGTGTCATTGTGAGACCTCTATAAAAGATACTAGAGTAGACTCGGATCTAAATGTGTCATTTTCCTTTATGGGTGAAGAAGTTAACATTGAACATTACACAATTGAGTGAAGTAAAATATCGCAAATCTCATATTGATAAGAGATGAAATAGATCTTAGATTTATAAGTAAATATCTACTTCCACTAATAAATATGTCTTTTAGATTGAAAATGTGGACTTGTTACAATTTCAAATTTATCTATAAATGATATGTCAATATCTTATTCACTATTAATATTTAAAATCAATACAGTGATAGTACATCAAATATAAAAGTTTATATTTATATTATTTATTTATTTAAAATATTAAAGTTTTTACATTTTTACGTCACCAGAAAAATATGATGAATTGCTGCCTTTGTTATGATTAGTTTTACAACATTTTATGGTGCCTCGACTTCTATAAATGTCTTTACTTCTTACCAAAGTTTGTAGCTTAATAATCCCTGCAATGTTATTAATTGTGTAATTGAGATTTCAAACTTAATTATATCAAATTTGATCATTTAGAAAAACCCGAACGATAACTCAGAAAAAATAAGTGAATTGTTCTTTTTCCATCCGATCATTTATTTCCTAAAAGAAAAATGAACTAAATTCGACTAAAAAATTATCAAAAACTCTAGACAAATTTAATTTCTTAAAATTTACCAACTACCATCCACTAACGAACTAGCACATTGAGCCAGCTGTGGTCCCTATATGGGCTGGGCAGCGCACGAACTTTTGTTTTGTCAATTTTAGTGCAACAACATGGGCGATCTAGCTTGAATTTTGACAAACTACCCATAATCACGATCGCGAGAAAGGGGAGACGCGGGCCCGGGGCCCGGAAGGGTTTAGGTTGGCAACACTGTTAGAAGAAGTTACAATCAAAAACTTACTTCTTTATTTTTTTTGGAAATTAAGAAAGGGGATTCGAAATTTATAATTATAATTATAATTATAAGGTGATTACAACATATATATATATAATAATTTGGATTTTTGTAAGAATGTCTTTAAATATTTAATTTTTACAATCTAATTATTAAGAAATCACGGTTCATAGATCAAAAACTGCAATAATATAATATTTCTCTATAAATTTTAAATTTAAATTTTTTATTTTTTTGAGCATATGAAAATATAATGGATCTTCTACCATACAAAAGAATTGTTCTCCTTATTTTTCCTGTAAATTAGCATCACCACTTCATCAAAATTTAAATTTGAGCTTTTCAAATTTAAAACCTTAGAACCCATTGAGCTTTACATTATATTATATTATGCATACATTTCTATATTTCAAACAAAATAAGTATACCTATTGGACTTTTTTCTTTAATTTTTTATTTAAAAAAAATTAAACTTTACGTTTTGAATATTTACGTTTTGAATAACCTTCTTTCAATTAGTAACGAAAGAAAATTGATATAATGCTTCAAAAAGCCCTTAAATTATACAAAAAAATTTAAATAAATTATTATTTTTTTATTATATTTAATTAAGCGCGTATATTTTTATTTGATTTAAATAAGCTATTATGATTAATGTTGACTAATTGTCATTAGTCATTTATTGTTCACATGGTGTTGATGTTGAAAATAAAAAATATCAAATGATCATATTACCATGCCATACTATCATCTATTATAACATATCAATATATTACATCAATATCACGTGACATCAAATGTTAAGCGACATATTAACTAAATTAACTGTTAGTCATGGAAGTTTATTTGATTTAAAATAAATTAAGTGCAAGGATTTATTTGATTTAAAATAAAACTATAAAAACTTGATTAAAAATAATAAAAAATAAAGACTTATTTAAAATTTTAAAATAATTTAAAATTTTTTTAAATATTATGTCAAGAAAGTTTTATTGATCCATAAATAATAACGTGAATTACAAGCTTTACAGCCAAATGTGCGAGTTTTGCATTCTTATATCATGAAAAGATCCGATACGATCCGATCCAAAGAATACATATTACTAATAGCCAAAAGCAGATCAGTTTAACCTACTGATGATGAAAAAATAGGAAAGAATTAATTGATTTGGCCACAACAGGTTGCTTTACCCCTTTGAAAATTGAAATATGATAGGAGAACCTAATTAATTCTTTTTCTTTAACAGAGGCAAATTAACAATTTTAAGGAATTAAGAATCATGCAGTTGGAATGGGCCCGCCAATACCTCTTTTCATGATAAGCATACCGCACTAATCTACCCTAGATACCAAGATATTCGATCATAGTCAAGAGCAGCGAATCGGTGTATAGCTTCTGTCAGGTAGGCTTTTAGCTACCTTGATTACTATTATTTATTGACCGCCAATTTGGGTCGAGTGCTTTGCAGCCTGGCGTAAGGGTAGGGAGTTACAAGTTCGGGTCCATATATAGATGGAAATGGCTATGAGACAGTGCCGGTCATGTCACACCTCGTGCCTGCATTTTGACAAAGTTGAAATGGGCACTGAATCTTTGAATGAGTGATGTAGTGTAGATATTAATTGTTGTTGAACTAGAACTTCTACTTCTGCGAGGTAGACACGGGATTCTTTGTACGTAAAGAACGTTAGGATTGTAGTAAGAGAAAATGACAGGGTCGTGCTTTCTTCTTCAATTGGGGATTTTTAAAAGGAGAGCGGATTGGCGTATTTCTGCCATCTTTGATGAGTTCTTGGCAGCAAAAACTAGGCAAAACATGGGTTTGGGATCGTCGATGTTTCTTGCGGTACTTGCTTTTGTTGCTTATTTTCATTCCTGTTACGCAGTGAAAGGTAGTAATATTATTTTTTCATGCCATTCCCTCTCTCAGACTTGCAGAATTATAGTATATAAATGTCAAACTTGGAAAAAAAATAAAAGAAAGAAACACAATCTTAACACGTACAGAATTCTCTTTTGCAGCTCCTTA